GTGATACAAAGAAGTTATTCAGTGTGCTTTAGTGTTCAAGCATGACGAGATTAATAAATCTACAGAAGCTTACAAGAATAGACAATCTGCTATGATTTAACTGAGAGAAAGAGAAAGGAGTACTTAATTCAATTCAATTTTATTTATATAGCGCCAAATCACAACAAAAGTCGCCTTAAGGCGGATCGTAGATACAGAGAAAAACCCAACAATCATATGACCCCCTATGAACAAGCGCTTTGGCGACAGTGGGAAGGAAAAACTCCCTTTTAACAGGAAGAAACCTCCAGCAGAGCCAGGCTCAGGGAGGGGCGGGGCCATCTGCTGCGACCGGTTGGGGTGAGAGAAGGAAGACATGACAAAGACATGTTGTTTTCATAGACAACAAAGACATTTGACCTGACAGTAATAACTACACAGAGTACAATTCTATTTTACACTAAATTAGAGAATGGAGAAAAAATTAATAAACTCACTTTCTGTCTGTATCAGAATCAGAGAAACTTTATTCATCTCAGAGGGAAACTGAGATGTGATAGCAGCAAATGCACAACAAACATCAAGCACTCATATAAAATGAGTGTAGAAACAGAGATATGACAGATAAATAGTAAGATAAATAGATAAATATAGAGATATAGGCATGAATATAAAAGGACAAGTATGTGTGCAAATATATGTCGTGGTGTAGAAAAGTGACAGCAGGGTGGAGTGAGGTGTGATTAATTCTGTGGACCTGACCCAAGTTTCTTTCTCAGATTTCTGTCCACTACAACATCCCGACACCTACTGATGTCACCACTCTCAGTGTGAAAGTCCAACTAGAGGTCAACACCACAAGTGAATCTGCCAGACCCAAATTCACTCTGAAAATACAATCCCTGTAAGTATCTGACAGGTTAGAGACGTCACATAGGAGTGTTATTTACTGGTGTGGAGTCACTGTTGGTAGATGAAAAGCATGTGTGCACACAGGGTTCAGTGCTAGGACCAATTCTGTTTACATTATACATGCTTCCCTTAGGCAGCATCATTAGAAGACAT